GTTCAGTTTCTAGAATGTGTTCTCACAGCACACTGCAGTGGTTAGCTCTTTATAGCAGCTATACTTACATGTGTAGAATTACTTTGTTTTTGAATCTTTATCCTGATCCTCTGTGCCTGGCACATACCTAGCTCAGAAAATATCTGAATATTGAAACTAGGGTTTAACAGTTCCAGTTATGTAAAAAGCTCAAGTATTTGGGGAAAAAAATGAACCTGGGATTAAAATCACATTTCAGTATACAATTCCTACTTTTTAATTTACTAGTTAACCAATTTTTCTTTGGTGGGGGGAGGGTGAGCCAAAGGAAGTACTAGTATGTATTAGTGTTAAAGCCTCAACAAGGATCTTGGAATACAGCTGATGCTGAGTTGTCATGCCATGGTCGCCTTTCCTCATTTAGGTTCTAGGAAAGATTTCAGAACTCCTACTGAGTATATGGAAGTAGTACAACAGAGTGCTGGAAATGATACCAAAAACTTAAAACCTGTAAGTGGTCCTGTTTTGAAATTCAGGTTTTAGATGAACAGTTTTATGATGCTTTATGATACTTAACACCATTCTTGCAAGTCTGCTACTGTTCTTAGTGACTGTTATCCTTACAGATTATAAAGTATGCCAGGTGGAGGGAACTAAGATTCTATTCAAGACTTCCTTTCGTAGATAATGAAGTGCAAGGTTATATCAATGTCAAAAACATGTAGTATTGATCATTTATGTATTTAGCAGTGTGAGTAGTTTTACAATTTATTGTTTAGGAATGTATTGTTGAGGAATGTAAGTAGTAAAATCTTGTGTTACAAGATTTTTGCATTTACATGAACTTTCACTCATTTTTCAGAATCTGTTCCTAGAGACAGAGAACCCAATACAAAAATGAGAACATGTTTGCATAATCAGAAGGATGCAGTGCAGATGCCTAGTGACACTCTGAAAGCAAAAATGGTGCCCGAGAGAGTTCCCCGCAGATGTGCTACTGTTGCTGCAAATAAAATAAAGATAATGAGTAATCTAAAGGAAACGATTTCAGGACCAGAAAATGTCTGGATTAGGAAGAGTAGCAGAAAACTGCCCCATCGAAATGCTTCTGCTGCGGCTAAGAAAAAGTTACTGAATGTTTATAAAGAGGATGATACAAGTATAAATTCTGAAAGTGAAAAAGAGCTAGAAGATATTAATAGCAAAATGCTTTTGTTTTAGTCAGCTCAGTTCCTGGAAAGAAAAAGCACAGTAGTTAGTGTCTATGAAAATGTAGAGGTGGGATTGAAAACAGGGGCCACAAGTCAACTGGCAGTTGCATTTTGCTCTGAGCTCTTAAATTAATCCCTTGTTGGCACCTTTCCAGGAATTTTCTGAAAGCCATAATCCAGAGTCGAAAGTGCATCCTAGGAAGGCTTCCTCCCAGTGAGCCTTTGTACAGGCACTAACTACAAAGAATTCTGAGGAGAAAATAGATTTGCGAAGCCTGTAGTTGGGAGAGGTGGAAAGAAAAGACAAATGGCTTCTCATAAGATTTCTCCTCTTCAGAAAGAATTTCTTCTCGGGGAAATTTCTTGACTCCTTAGAGGAAGAAAATACAGTCGTCCCTCCATATCCCAGGGGTGGGGTTAGTACCAGGACCCCCCCAAAACCAGATGCTCGAACTTCTATAAAAGAGGAAGTATTTGCATATAACCTACACACATCCTCCCATATATTTTAAATCATCTCTACATATAGTACCTAACACAGTGCAAATGCTATGTAAATAGTTATTACACTGTATTGTTTAGGGACTAATGACAAAAAAGTCTGTTCAGTACAAAGCCCCTATGTTTTGCCTAACTACCTAGTACACGTCGGCAACAATGTGTCTTCCCCCACCCCTCAATAGTGTACGCAGAACACTTAGATATGGGAGACCAACCCTAATGGGAAGTGTAGAGGGTCTATAAGAAAAACTAAAGGAATGAGAGAAATTCAAAATCTTCACCTGTTCATTTTAAGGGTTTTGCATTAGAGTACTAAAAACTCAGACCACCATGACTATGGATGGTGTCCTTATCAAATAAAAATTAGGCACATTTCAAGAAGTGCTATTGAGCCTATTTGATTTTTGAGTGAAACAAAGAGCAACATGTAGTCCCTACAATGCACAACTCAAAAGCCAAAACAACTTAAACTAGGACACGGGGGTTCAATGGTGGGGATTTTAATAATTAGTGTTGGAAACAGAAAATCCATTAAGGTCTTCTTTTATTCATAATATTGGAATTCCTATTGAATGGTGACCACTTGATATGACTAATTCAGGGAATATATATTTTTCTATGAGAGCCAGGACTGTGACTATCAGAACTTCTTGTCCCCATTTTTACTTTCAGGCAGCAGCATTTACAGAGATGCCAAAATGTGTCATGATGAGGCCAGTCTTAGTTTTAATTAAGAAATAAAAACTATAGATTAAGATCAAAACAGTCATATTTTTAGATGAGTCACTGACATCCTCAATGTTTCTCCACAGCAGCTTAAAGGTTAGAACTTTATGAACACTCTGAATTTATTACAATCTCATCACAACAGCTGGAATGGCAGTATGTCTGGGCTATTTCATTGTGGCCTTCTCTAGGATTAGAAAATCTTGTTTTGTTACTCTAAAGAATTTCTTTGAAATGATGTTTAATTTGTTAATAGGTAGTTGTTGAAATTAAAGTCACCAGAGTAAATGAATGCACTGTCAAATCTTTTTAATATAGAACATAATATTGGAAAGCTGAATTGTTTTCCTATTTAAACATATCTATGAATATTAATATATTATTTGCATGTATGAATCTGAAAAAGTAAAATATGGAAACCTAAGGGTTTCTATTCCTTTTTCATTAAAAGACTAATGTAATTCACATTTTTTGGTTATACAGATTGGCCAAGTGTCTAGATTACTTGAGAAATTTGTTTGTGGTTGCATGTCTGCTTAAAAAAAGGCTTTTTTTGTTTTCTTTTTCTTAGCATAAGCCAGAATACTTCTACCCTATAGTTCATGTCCTTTGCTCTGTTTATAGTCTATTTTCATCTGAAATGCTGATCCTAGTATCTTGTTACTAGTGCAGGTGAGAAAGGGGAAAATTCCTAATAAATGACATTTTTAGGTGCATGGGGTTTGATTTTTGGATCTCTAATGAAATTTAAACCTATTACCAGCCCCATATTTATACTTATTTGGTATCTTATCAACAAATACCACAAAACGAAAATATTTGAATCTCAAGATTATTGTATGCAAAATTTTTTGACAATTTCAGTGTAACGAAAGGATTTCAATTTTGAAGTTGGAATTTACTCTGGTGGAGTTAAATTCTGTCAGTACTTGAGACTGTATCACCTGCCTTCTTTCATAATGGAACCCCTTGTCTAGTTTAGTATTTAATTTGAACATATATTTGCCTTTTTTTAAGTGCTTGGCCTAAACTTATTGTAACGGCATGAAATAAGCTTTTGTTTAAAACTTAACATTCTTGTAAAACACTCTCAAATGTGTGCAGAATTTTAATCATGGCCAAATGTATTATTACTTTATAATTTTAATCAGCTTTCCAGAAATTATTTCTTCATAATATAATTGTGAAATCACGTTGGGGATCTCAATGGTAAAAAATGACATTTTTATTTAACAAAAGGACTAAGACGAGGTGATACCCAAACCTTTTTATTTTGCAATTCAGTCATTCTGTAAAGCCAATTAACCCAGGAGTTGTAATGCAATTTTAAAACATCACATTGGTAATCTTGTATATTCTAGTTCTGTAGCTGTACTTAAAATTTCCTAAGCTCTTACAGGATGGCAATTTGAGTCTTAATGTTTATACTTAAGTTCAAATTTTGCTTCTAAGCCCAGTCTTAAATTTTGCAGTAATACGTAAAATTGCTAAATATCAGTCTTATGTAAATGGTTTTGTTGATCATTGTTTCTCCACATCTTAAAACGAGATGTTTCTAGTAACTTTCGGGGATTTTTTTTTCCTCTCCAGAGGCTTCCCCGACCCCAAATTAGTACTTAACTTAGTGATTATTGAGGGACAGGGTTCCAAAATTTAAACAATGCCATCTAGTTCCAGCACAACTAAATGTAGGTATTTTTTTAAAAAGTTTTCCATTGCAATACCGGATATTTTAATTTTTATTCGAACTATGGTATAGTTGTCTCATTTTCCTCCTGCTTGGAGCAGTGCTCCGTGAACTTTGTCTTCCAGCAAATTTTAAAGAGAACCAACTGAACACATACTTACTTTGCTTACTAGTGAAAGGTTATTTAAAGCGGAAGTAAACTTTGTATTAGAAATGGCCAAGTTTTAAAAAAGCTAATATTTTTGCAGTCTCAAAAAGTCTTTTAGATCAGCTTGACGATCATCCTGTTTTGAAATGTGGATTCCTACTGCCAGAGTAAAGGCCTCATTTTTGTAACACCACGAAGCACTGTGTTTCTTCCTGCTTTGCCATCCTCCCACTGCCCACTGTTCCCGTGGACGCGCCCGGTCCGGGCCGACACCTACCTGGGAGCGATCGCGTTTTGGAGCATGGTGATTAAACTAAAGCTCACCCTGCCGCTCCTAACGGAGCAGGAAAACGGAAACGGAGCGAGGGAGGGAAAGGCACAGGGGTGCGCCTCTTTTCGGAGCACTACAGTCTGGGGAGGGGCGGCCGACCCCTTCTCTTCCCTGGTCCGTTACCTGTCGGGACAGGAGGCCCAGCCCCGCATCCGCCTCTCGCCTCCGCTTCTTCAACCCGCAGTCATCTGATCTTCCCTTCGGTCTCTCCGCTGGGCTCACTGGGAGGGAGAAAACGCTCTGGTTTTGCGCGACCCTAGGGTCGGGCGCGTGCGCGGTGGGTGTTGGCAGAGGGGTGGGGCGCGTGAGCGGAGGCCTTTAGGGGGCAGGGCTCAGGGGCGTGGCGATGCTCTGGGGCACCTACACGGAGTTGGTTCTCGGGGCGGGGCGGGGCGGGGCGGAGCGCGGGGGCGCATGCGCCGTCCTGCGGCGCCGCTGTTAGGCGGGTGGGAGGGTGACCATGGCGGCCACGTTCTTCGGAGAGGTGGTTAAAGCGCCGTGCCGAGCCGGGACGGACGACCAGGAGGAAGAAGATGAGGGGAAAACGGAGACGCCGGAAGACAGGGAGGTCCGGCGGCAGTTGGCGCGGAAGAGGTGAGGTCCTGGACGTAAGGAGCTGGCGGAGCTCTTGGGCCTATGGCGCGGTCCCGGGCTCCGGCCGTTGCGGGGGCAGGATAGGCGCCTGGGACGCAGGCGGTGGCCGCTGGTCCGCGGCCCAGCTCTGCCTTGGGCCTCGGAAAGTCCTCGGTGGGACTGGCAGAACCAGCTCCTGGGGTGTTGAGTGGGGGCGGGCTGATGTTGGCCTGCTGCAGTTTCGGTGGGCTGGGTGGATTCCCGTGTTCTTTAAAGGGGCGGCCTGCAAGACTTCCTTCAGCATTGATTTAGGTGGTTTCTTGTCGACGTTAAGTTTTTCCAGGGCTACAGTGCTAAGTCTTCGTGCCCCAAGTTTGTTGTGTATTTGGTTTATTAAACATAAGACAACTCTCATAAGATTTTTATTCTCCGCCCCACATTTCAGTTAGCATTACGTGGCAGGTGGGGTTTTTTTCTCCAAACACAAAAATTGGAGAAAATAGCGAGATGAAGATTTTGACACAGTTATCTTCCATCACCCGTGAGTCCCAGTCACCATGGGCTTTTCCCTACCTGCGCCTTTTTCAGAATGCATCTCAAATGCTATGGGCACTTTTTTCCATATACTGTTATCGTTCCTAACAACATTAATAATTTCTTGATACTATATAATAGCCAATCCATGATCAGATCTGCCTAGTTTTCTCTGACATGACAGTTTACACTGCGTGTGTATAAATCAGAAATCTAACAAGGCCCACACATTATGTTTAGATGTTTTGTTTTTTTCCACTTTCTCTCATCTAGAGCAGCGCCCCTCCTTTTTCTCCTTTGCTCAGAGACTGGTTGTCCTGTGGGATGACCCTCATTCTGGGTTTGTCTGATTGCTTCCTCTTGGCGTCCTTTAACATGTATCCATTACCTGCATTTCCTGTAAATGGAAGTTCCTTCTAGAGGCTTGGTCAGATTCAGGTTCAATATTTTGCCCACGAGAGAGTTTCAAAGGTGGTGGTTGGTGTTCCTAGCTGCTCGCTGTCCTGTGGGGTCATCCCACTTTTCAAGATGCTAAGAGTGATTGGTCGGTGGGTTAAGTGGACAGCCTGATTCTATTCAGTTCTCCAGGAACTTGGTATCAAACGGTTTTCTCTGTTAGTTATCATCACATGATTCCGACGATTCTGTTGTTTCCTGAAGATTATAATTATGTTCTTGATAAAATCAAAGTTTGTATATTACTTAATACAAAATTATAGTATTTGCATCATAGTAAAATACTATTCATATTTAAGTTACTTTAATTTTGTCTTTTGTGTCCTTTGTTAGGGAGGTGCGGCTCGTTCGAAGACAGACAAAAACATCTTTGGAAGTTTCTCTGCTGGAAAAATATTCTTGCTCCAAGTTTATAATTGCAGTTGGAAATAATGCAGTAGGTGAGTGGAAATGCATTTGACTAGACATTTTGTTGAAAGAATAAAATGTCAAGTTACTTACTCCTTTTCATCATAAAAGATTTTAAGTGTTTTTTTTTTTTTTTTTTTTTCCCCTTGGCTGGTGTGGCTCAGTGGATTAAACCTGCAAAGCCAAGGGTCACTGGTTCTACTCCCAGTTGGGACACATTCCTGGATTGCTGGCCAGGTCCCCAGTAGGGGGTGCATGAGAGGCAACAACACATTGATGTCTCTCTCTTTGCCCCTCCCTTCCCCTTAGAAAATAAATAAAATCTTTAGAAAAAAGTATTTTTTAAAGAAAAAGCTATAGTTCTGTAAAGTTATTTTATAACTTTGTATTTCAGTAAAATCTATCATTGCTTATGTCTTTTTCATAAACTTAAAAAGATTTAAAGGAAATGCTCATAGCTTTAGGAACTTAGATTCAAGGAAAGGGTCAAGGGTGTTTAAATGTCCAGAATTCCTTAAGTTCAAGGACCTGTTCTGGCCAGACTTGGAGGGGCAGAAGATAGTGCGTGTATACAGCCCTCTTGTAGCAATGGTTCTTGGATGTTTTGGAACATTTCTTAAATGTTCCTTTAAGAACATAATGATAACACTGAAAATAACAGGAATCACTAATTTTGAGTACTTAAGTTCTGAAGTCTTTACACAAATGAATCCATTTGAGAAGCTGAAGTTAGAGCAGTGCAGGATTCAGCTAAAACAACATACACGTGCAAGTGCACAAACCTGTATTATTTTGGGGGGTTCTCAGGCTCAGAGGAGAGCATTTAGGAACTCCAGTTAGGACCCTTTGTTCTATCAGGTAGCCACAGTGCTTGCAAAACAAGCAGAAGATAAATAACCACTGAGTCATTTATAGAAAGTTCCACCAGCCTAAAGTTTCCAGATAAGTATTGCATTGTGAGAGCATTGTTAAGTGTGTCAGTAAACCTTGCCAACTCCTGGCTCTACTACCATCTGCACTCAGAGCGTGGCCTTTTACTCCTTAAGGCCTCTGTTTCCTTTTCTGCAAAGTCATGGTGTAAGGTCAGTGACCCAGAATGGCATTGTTAGCTCCAGAATCCTGCAGTGACTTGAATGAACTTACTTTTTATTGACTAGAAAATGCAGCCTGCAGAACCAAACACTGACTTATGTGAATTGTTTTTACAGCATTTTTGTCATCATTTGTTATGAATTCAGGAGCCTGGGAAGAAGTTGGTTGTGCCAAACTCTGGAATGAATGGTGTAGAACGACGGACACTGTGCATGTGTCCCCCACAGACGCTTTTTGCGTGTTTTATCATCTAAAATCAAATCCCTCGGTATGTAGGACTTACCTTGTCTTTTTGAGAAATAGTTGTGTAGGCAGCACTTATGTAGTGTTCGTTTGAATGCCACCTTCTTCTGTACAGACTTCTGGCTTGAGGAATTCTACCCGTAGGCAGTGTTAGTGACCACTTTGTTCATATAAATGTTAATGTGGCACTTGCATTGTGTTGGTAAAGTTGTTAGGAAATTCTGATACCACTTTGTTAGAAACAAACCATAAACACTAGATATTTAAATGTTGCCCTCATTCAAAAAAGTATTTCAGTTGATGACTCCAGACATGCAAAAATGTATTCATTCTATGAAAGCAGGAAGTTCTGCATCCCTTGCTCTAAAATGCAGCGCTGAGCCAGTGCCTCGTATGCACTCGAAACTCAGTTAACGTGTGTTGGACAAATGAATGCTTCGTGCATGCTAAATACAATCCTGTTGATGCCAGCCTTCCCCCCTAACCTAATTTGTGCTGATATTTCCAGCAGAAAAGACATTGGGCAGCTGGTGCTGAGTGATTTCTTTGGCTTGTGTTTGTCCTTATCCTGCTCGTGGGTTCATTCAGAGGACGCAGTGGGCTGGGCAGCTTGGGAGGCAAGGCAGGCAGAGGAGGTAGCCCGGCAGGTGAGGTCTCTCCCGTCTGCTGTCTGACGGGGTTCCATTTCACAGGCGCTGGGCGGAGGCACAAAGGCCAGGGGTAGGGGAGCAGACAATGGGAGCAGTCAGTAATTCCATCACGTATAATGTTGCTTATTCCAAAAGGTAAGGAGCAAGTGTTAGCCCTGAAAACTGTAGAGCTTGATTTTGTAATACAGTTTGTTTCTATAGCGGGTACCCCAAAGTTACTGAAGTTTCATGAGCATTTTTATAAAAGGTCCAGTGTTTATAGGAAATGAAGCAGGAAACGGAGCATGTTCTTTATCTGGCCCTTAGTGTGAAAGTTTCACTTGAGACTAGATAGAGTCAAGTAGGAGAAATTTCTGTTACTGTGTCTGCTGTACCATTTTGGTTGGATGCCTTGAGTATTCAGAACCTGTGTGTGCAGCTGCCTCTCAGTCCAGTCTTCGTGGTCTCCCCTGTCCTGCGGCCCCTTCCCCCTCTGTGCTTGCCCTGTGCAGTTAGCATGTCTGGCAGTAGTTTATGGGAAGGTGTGGGTGACTTCTGTGGATGGCATCATTCCTGGGCATCCTTAATTGGGAGCCTCATGGCATTGCAGGTTATTTCACCTGGAGCATATGGCCTGGAACCCAGTTCCTAAACTAACACCATCCTCACAGGCATTGACAACACACCAGGGTGCCATTTGGGCCGAGGTCCGTCGGGCCGCCGTTGTTCACTGCCGTCACCTGCTGTTCCTGTGGTGGCCACGTCTCCTGATGTGGGGTCAGGTCTTCACGCGCAGTGTGTGGCCCTCGGAAGGACAGCAGGCTGCTGCCTTCGCTCTTTGATGAAGCGGAGTCTGGTGGTCTTTGCTGGGCCTGTCTTCAGTGTCTCGTGCTGGCTCTGTCGATGTGCACTTCGTTCTGATACTAATTGCCAGTAGTAGCTTGTCAAATTAAAAAAAAGTAGGCCAGTAGCAAATTCAGGAACACAAGTGTTATCTAAGTTATATTAGGATATACATGATATCTATCTGGTGACAGTCTGGGGTGTATATAAAACTGATTTGACCGTACAAAAACTTGGAATTTGGTTTTTTAGATTTTCCTGTGTCAGTGCAGTTGCTATGTTGCTGAAGATCAGCAGTACCAGTGGCTGGAGAAGGTAAGAGAGGGGTGGGCGGGGGGCTTGGGTGGCAGGTGTGGCCGTTAGGTACGGGGTCAGAGGCTTTACTCTTAAACCTTAACGGTCAGATATTGAAGTCGGGGAAGTTTTTTTTTCTTCCTAAAAATATTGTAGGAATTTGTTAGAGAATATAAAGAATAAAAGGACTTATTTAACAAACAGAATTAGCATTGTGCTAAAGATTGTTGGTCGTGGAGGCATAAAACATTAGTTGAATGAACTCTTCCCATCCACCTGATTATTTTGTTTGAAAGACAAGCTACACGCGTGAAACAGAGCAGGGCACGGCCGGGGAGAGAACAGCAGAGCCGGGGATGCACCGGACGCAGGCAGGGGTTGGCACTAAGCCGCCACTCCCTCCAGACCCCAAGATACTATCCCATTTTTCTCAGCACTGTGAGTCTTTTGAGGCTTTATTTTGTGGGAAAATTATGCATATGGTATATACCGAATAATACAGATTTTTCAGTGAAGAATTTAGGAATTTTAGAGAATAACCATAATTTTGGCAGTTATGTACAGTATTATTTTTAAACGAAGTACACCTGTTACATGTGTCATAGCAACATTTTAGCTTAAATCTTAGGTATATTTTTGTGTAGATATTAATTAGAAATAAGAAACTTAATGTATTTTCATTTTAAACTAGGTTGGCATACTTAGAAACATTCACTAAAAGTTATTAAATGCATTTTATTAATGGAGGGATTGTTTAAGGAGATCTATGAATATTCTGATAAGTATATACATGTTTTATGTTCATGTACCTATGTGTATTTCTTAGGGAGCGGGTTCATCGGATCTCAGAAGGGTAGGAAACTGCTGTGATTTTTATTTTTAATTTATGTAGAGCACTATTAAGAAAAAATATTTTATTATTTTTGTACTGTGAAAATACTCTTCAAGACTTAAAAAAATGTGCGCTTACACATTTCTAAAGCAAAAATTTTTAATCAATATTTTTTTTCTAGGGACACTCTTAGGTCCCTTTACTGTTTGGGTCAGGTCAGCCGTGTGGTACTGATGATCTCACACTGTCCGACAGCGTTAAGTGTTGTGGATTCAGACTAAGTATCACAGGCAAGGTGTAAATTAGGCCTTGTGAGCAATGTTATGGGACCTAACACTGAATGGGCCAGGCCTGGTAACAAATGTACATACACAGTGTTAGCTTTTTTAGTGTTTATTTACAAAGCTGTTAAGTAATGAAATCAGTCATGCAAATCATTTATGACATATAATATCTTCATTTCTTTTGTTACTATTTGAAATAGCCACTTTTTTCTCTTGATAAAATATTTTCAAGGTGCAGTGGCCTGAAATCTCTGTTTTCTTTAAAAAATAGCTGCTTTCCTCGTTTACATTATCATAGATTTTTAAGAGCTGGAGGAACCCTTGGAAATCCGTCAGATACAGACTTCGGAGGACGGTGAGGTCAGGGCGAGGTTAACCTGCCTGCGCTCGCAGCGCACAGCCTGCCGCACCTGCAGGCGGCTCCTGGGCCCCAGCAGGTGCCTCCGGCTGCCGAGCGCACTGGCCCAGTCTCTGGTGTGTTTTTTCCTGTGCATACAGACCTGTGATAAAGCTTAGTTTGTAAATCAAGAGATTGACAGCTAATAATAAACGAGAATAATTATAACGAAATTGAACCCCGGCTCGGCGACCCCCCGGCAGTCAGTTGGGTGGCTGAGACAGCTGCTAAGGGAGGGGAGCGCACACAGCGTGGCTGCTCGGGGCGAAGCCGTGGCCCGTGTTCTGGGCGGGACGGGGTGGGACTTGGTCGCACTACACAGAACGACACGGATTTAAACCTTAGGATTTGGGTATTTCTCTAATTTTTCATATAATAATTTCAAAACGTGGTTGACCACGGGTAACCGAAACCACAGAAAGCAAAACCTCAGAGAGCAAAACTCCAGATAAGGGAGGTGGGCTACTTTAAATTCTTCTAAAATTCACTTAAAATTGGATTTTAAGAAGACTCATTTGCAGGCATCGTTGGTTGGTAGGAGAGGGAGTGAAAGTGGCAGCCGATGGGGGTCACAGCCGAGTGCCTTGGTAACTCCGATGACGTCGCTGGCCGGGGAATGGCCGCCCTGGCCCTCTTTGTCCCTGGTTGGCCCCCTCAGACTGCAGTGGCAAGGAACGTGGTTTGAAGGCCTCTCCACTAGAAAGTGACAGAACCAAGATCAGGTCTAGGTGAGGGGCAGCGCAGTGTGTGTCTGGTTTTCCACGGACACTTCTGCGCCCGCAAGGCAGGATGTCCCTGTGAGGGGTGCTGGCTCCCCGCCCAGAGGAATGTTGCTGTTCTGTAACAAAGCTGTATATGGGTGTATTTTAATTTGAAATCAATTTTTTGTGTTAGGTTTTTGGCTCTTGTCCAAAGAAGAATATGCAAGTAACTATCCTCACAAGTCGACACGTCACAGACTATAAAACTTCAGAATCTACCAGTAGCCTTCACTGTCCTTTCCTGAGAGCCCTGAAAACACAGAATTTCAAAGAACCTCCATGCTGCTCGCTGCTGGAACAGCCGAATATTGTTCACGATCTCCCTGCAGCAGGTGGTGTTACAGTGTGCGACGTTTACATCATAGCTTGTTACTGCTTTATTGATAGTTAGTACTTTGAATGTTAGAGATCTTTTTTCCCCTCTTTTTTATTGAATTTATTGGGGTGACATTGGTTAATAAAATTATAGAGGTTTCAGAGTGAATGTTAGGTATCTTTTTGCGGTAATTTGCTACTGATTACTGATGTATTGCTGTTTATACTCATCATCTGTAGTTGCTAGTCCATCTATTTGGTTTGAGCTTAAAAATTTTCCAGACACAGTTAATATGAGAACAGCTCAGGGTTCTTAACTGTTGCCCTTCGGAGTCTCCCTGTTTCTGTTTGGTCTTTGGTAACTCAAGTGAGCCAGTGTTAGGTATAAGTTGTTGCTGTATGGAAAGTTGGTAAAGTGTGTTTTGATAGAATAGTAGGTTTCAGATATTGAATCTTGGTAGTTCTAATATTTCTTGTTCCTGTTACTAACAACATATCAAAATTAGATTGTCACCTTTCAGTAGTTAATGTTACTATATATAATTAGTTATTATTTGCTAATAAATAAAAGGGTTTTGTTCTCTTTAAATGTTAAGCTTATTGGAATAAGCAGTTTAGTAGTCTATATTATGCTTCATATAGTATTTACATTTAATTTACTATGTTTATTATAGTTAGGAAACTTTAATCCTGTGGCTCCTCAGCATGTATCTCAGTAGTGTGCTCAGGAAATGCAAAATAAACAATGTTTGCCTATTCTGTATACCTGAAACTAATACAAAATACTGTTGAAGGTAAACTGCCATTGAAAAATAAAATTTAAAAAACCTAATATTTGCAAAATCAGGAGAATACTTTAAGAAAATAACACTTTGAAAGAATATGCATCAGAATTGATTTAAAATGGCAGTAAATGCTTTGATTAAAAGAGGCAACAGAGACAGCTGTTTTTTAAAAGTAGGCTTCATTTAGAGATGTTTTACTTTAAAATCCTATAATAAAAAAACTTGTGTTTTTTTCTTGTATGTTCATAGTTCTGAGTTACTGTCAAGTATGGAAAATCCCTGCCATTCTGTACTTGTGTTACACTGATGTGATGAAATTAGACCTAATTACAATTGAAGCTTTTAAGCCTGTCCTTTCTTCCAGAAGCTTAAAAGGTTTGGTTAAGGTAAGGTTTTATTTAACTCATTAACTTAATAGCTGACTTACTATAATGAACAAATGTAGTAACAACCATAAATGTATGGTGTCAGTTTAAAACCTAAGTAGCACTTAGAGCTTCTTTTGCCTCACAGTGGAGCTTCCTGATCTGGCAGTTGGACTTGATAGGCACCGCGTTTGTATGTAGATGTCCAGCGGAACTCGGGGAGTGTTCCAGTCAGCTGGGGCCTCCGGGGGGCGTGGGCGATTGTCCTGCCAACAGGGGGTGCGGTTGCATGGGGAGAGCGTCGTCCCCCAGGGAAAGTGGCACTTCAGCTGGATTGGAAAGATGGGTGGATCCCAGTGGGTGGCCATGTGCAGGGGGCAGCAGTGGGAGCCCAGAAGTGGGTGAGTCCGGGGAGCCCTGAGGGGAAGGGTGATGAGCAAGGTGCTGGGCCGCAGAGGGAAGTCAGCGCCCACGGGGAGAGGTGGGCCCGGCCAGCGCGTCGTGTCCGCTGCGTCTCCGTAAGGGCTGCAGGTGGCTTCCACCGGCCGGGAGGCTCCTCAGCCAGGTTTGGGCGCCGGGAGGACATGCTTAGTTGTGTGACCTTCTTGCCTTGCCTGTCTGTTGGGAAGAAGAGGGGAGCGATAGCACCTCTGCGGTGGGTGCCTGTGGTTGGGACGGGGCAGGGGGGAGGGGTGTTGCACGTGGCTTCTGACTGAGCTCGCAGTCTCACCGTATTAACACCTTCCTTCTCTCCTTTCAGAATATCCCCCAGAGCACAGAGATACTGAAGAAGTTGGTGACGACCAATGAGGTTCAGAGTAACATTTACACGTGATTCCAGATAGCTTGTTACGTGTGTCACCTGTCCATTCCTGTAGGGGGCGCAGCTGCACTGTTTCATTAGGTTCCTTTTTTTTCAAGGGAGTATTTTGAGGGTGTTACAAGCAGAATAAACTTATTTTAAATTCATTGTAGTTATAGTTCCTTTTTTATGGTGGTGCTGTTCATGGCTGAAATAAGCAGACGTTTTTATCCACTAGATGGGAGTATTGTTTTATTTGACTATTTTGAGGTAATATAGTTAAATTTTTCAAAAGCTACAGGTTATGTTAATATGGCAAAGTATGGTTAATTTGGTGTAGAAACTCTGATATCAGAAAGTTGGTAGCCTGCTGGAGGTCCTAACATATGGAGGGTTTCTGACTAGGAGGAGTTCTACAGGTTTTTCATGGATAAAAGTTGGTAATAAGGTAGTAACAGTTGTACATTCCTCAAAATGAAACAGACAGAAAGTTGCATCCTCACTTCAGTAATACGTTAAGTTGGTGTTAGCGTGAGCCCTGGTGGGGTCTCCCGTTAGAATGGCGGTGAGTTGTGAACTCCAGGTAGCCACACCACTCCACACGGCCGCGGACTCAAGTTCATTAGTGAAAATAAATTTTAAAATGGTGGAGTTTATGAATGTCTTTTATCCTTTTTTCTTTTTTAGTTATGGAATCACTTATAGACAGGGTGCAGCAGAAGTGTAATGCCTGCTTGAGTATGGTTGGTAATAATATGGGTGTAATAATTTATGGTTTTAATTTGAACATTTTACCTAAAATGTCATATGGTGTGCTTGAGTGTGATACTGTTATAAAATTACATGCTTATGATTTTGTAATAAAAGATTTTTATAATAAAAAAGGAGGTGTTATTTGTGCCAGACCCCTGTAGGTGCATACATCTTACCCACCTGTGTCTTCTGGATTTCAGTTTGTTCACTGTGGTTGGTCGGGGTGGGAGATGCTGTTTGCTGACTCGCTGGTTTCCCTCCAGGAGTGAAGTATGGAAGTGCAGTGTTTGGCCCATGTATGAATGTGTCCTGATGATAGAAATTGAGGTGTTTTCATTGTTGCAAAAAAAGCATGTGTCTGTTTAGAAATGTGTTGGCAGGTCCTGGAGGCGACAACAGTTTGTGAGAATGAAGAGACATAAAAGTATAGATACAATGAATTTTAAGACCAAAGTATGCAGGCAGGTAAGAACCAAACAATGACCTATCTTGCTGTCAGCTGTTACTGCCTAATGCCCACACTTTGGAGAGCCAAAGCAACCACCAGCCGTTTCTCATGAGTCTGCAGGTCGGGTGGGCGCCCCTGCTCATTTGTGCCGTGCGCAGCAGCTCTTGGCTCCTACGCCTGCAGCCACGTCCCTGACATGAGTGGGCTGCACCCGGCGGGTCTAGGGTGGCCTTGCCTGGCATGATTTGGCTGTCTGCCACGTGTCACTCTTGTTCCTTCAGCAGGACTGCCCAGGCATGTCTCCTGGTCTCCAAGGAGCAAAAGAGGGAACGGAAACGTGCAAGTGCCTCTTGAAGTCTCCGATCACGTTTGCTGCAGTCCCAATATGGTCCTCTGTAGAGGCGGCAGGGTTGAGGGCGGGGCATCACCAAAAGGTCTGCATGGGAGGAGCGTGGCAAACTGGGGCCATTAGTACAACCAACCTGTCTGCGTTTGCCCTCTGACCACAGCTGCTTACGCTGCCCTCCCCCCGCAGACACGCGCACGCCAGGCCCACGGCACCCCGGGTCTCGCCCAGGTACATCATGCTCGAAGTCCAGGGGCTTGCCGTCTAGCTGCCGCTTCTGCAGAAGCTGGTGAAGTAAGCAGGCAAGTCACCTGCCACACACCAAGCGCACAATGGTGAGAGAGGGACAGGCCATCTGCAGGTATTTCCATTTGAAAGGAAAAGACTAGGACGCATCGTCTGCCAGTTCTGAAACCCCACTGGACAAGTAGTGCCAGACCAGCCACCGCTCTCCTCTGGGAGTGAGCAGAAATCCTCGGTGGGGCCCAGCTTCTGTTCTCAGGCAGAGCCTCCACGGTCTGGTCCTTTATCATCACGTGCCTTGCCTGGTTCCAAGAATTGATCTTTAATAACAGCTATGTAGCTTTCTTATCCATAGAAATAGGTGTGTCTGCAATGTGATAGCCCTAGAAACACTGGGCTTCCTATGTATCTAATTACAGTCTACTCCATGCTCTAATTTTTTTTTAAGTTGTTTTTAGAGAGGAAGGTGGGGGTGGGGTGGGGAGAGAAACATCAATGTGAGAGAGAAACTGATTGGTTGCCTCCTGCATGTGCCCTGACTGGGAACTGAACCTGCAACATTTTGGTGTATGGGACGCCACTCCCACCAATTGAGCCACCCAGCCAGGAGCACCACAGACATTTTTGAATATGAAAAATATCACCAACCCCTATCTGGTGACTGACTTAGGAACTCTCTGCTGCTGCTTGAATACCCTATTAGAACTATGAACAGAAGTTGTCTCAGCATTCTCTGCAAATTCTGTTTGACCTCCGGTGAAATCCCAGGGCAGAACCACTCTTCGTTCATGCCTTTGGAAAGGAAAGGAGTGGAGGTGAAAGTCACGTCACTTTGATTCTTGACCACCCGCCCCGCAGAGGCGATCCTGAGTTCTCTGCGAGTCTGTCCGTGCTGCCTGTGGTTTCGCTGCTACCCATCCACGAGAGGCAGTGGAAGGAAAGCTTTTCCAAGAAGCCAGTTCAGTGTCGGTGATTGTGCGACTGGTAACTTAAAGAGCCTGGGATGTTACTTTCACTTATTTAGGAAAAGGCCAAACAGTGTGAGCTAAATAAACCTCCCCCTCCAGCCGTCATCCTCGTAGCCATGGTAGCTGCATGTAGTCCCCTCTGACCAGAATCCCACAGTGTGCTAGACATTGCCTAGACAGGTTCTATTGGCCACTTCATATCATTAAAAAAAAAAGTTTTTTTTCCTAATTTTTAGTTCCCCTACAGTGTACGAACTTTTCTAATACAGCTTTGCAACAAAAATAAACAGGCATATTAATAACATTTGAGATTTAGGATGCGAGTGAAAAATTAGTTTGACGTACAGCAAAGTTATATAACGCTAAAACCAACTGCGTAATAGTTTTGGTCCCATCCCCCTTGATGCAGGCCTAGGAAGAGCCTGTTTACAAACGACACCAAAGCACACAGCAGTTAGTGCGGCAGGTCAGACCCTGGAAAGGGCCACGATGTGCTAGCCTGCCCTGCTCGAGCTGCGGTGTAGCTCCCAGGCCTCACGGCTGGAACCACCCCGGAGACTGGACACCCTGCGGCCGCTGGAGACTGGGCTCAGCCTCGCAGGGAGGGAATCGGTCCAGGAGAACCGGATGTCTGGCCGCAGCGGCCCTGCATCCCGAGAGGACCTGCTGGCAGACCAGCAGCCTGTGGCCAGGTAGACATTGGGCAAGGGCTCCAAGTTGTGGCGGTCTCCAAGCTCCGCCCACGTGTCCCTGTCACAGGCTTCTGTGGAGGCTGCACTTGCTCTAGCTCCGGACCTGGCTCTCCTGACGCTCGCTCCCGTCTCTGGATTCAAAAGTCTCTGTCAGGAACCGGTTTCCTCCAGTGCTGATTTGAAAGCTGTGGGCAAGAGGTTGGACAGAGCCAGGGGCCAGTCCTGGACGCCAGCCCCGCGAGGAAGGAAGTGAGAGGTTGTGTGGGCGGTGGCTCAGAAACATGTCAGGCTAGGAATCCGCACAGGTGTTCAGTGAAGGGGAAGAGACACTGGAAATAGCAGAACTGGCCTCAGAACTGCGCTCACACGGCAAGGCTGTATTTGGAAGCTTGTCTTCTGGGAGCGTCAACTCTGCCGCCTGAGACTGGGACGCCCTGCCAGCAGCAGCCACATGCCAAGCTGGCCATCCCGGGGCACGCTCCTCGCGGCCTCAAGTCAGCATCCAGACAGCACTGCCCGCGGGGCCTGGGCCCGCAGACCCCGCAGACCCCGCGGCCAGCTCTCGGTGCCAGCCAGCTCAGCCAAGACAAACCCCGCCTTCAGGCCTGGCGGTCCGGGCCGGCTTCGGGGCTCACCTCAGAAGAGGTTGGCTTTCTCTCTCTGGTTCCAGAAAGTTGCCAACATCAAGAGATACTGGGCCTGGGCCGAGGCCGCAGAGGCCTGGCCTGTTCTGTCCACGAGGCTCAGGCCCGCGGCAGGGCCCCCGGGCCAGGCAGGGCCCTGGGTCCCTCCAGTCCTTCTCACGACTGGACCCTGAGTTGCGCACAGTGGTCGGTGGTCTTGTTCTCCAGGGGCTCTGAGGAGTGGGGGTCTCCACAGGGTCAAGTGTGGGCCTTTGATGTTTATAACAAAACAACCTTTGCCTTGGCTGTCATGTGGCCGCCAGACTGCTGAGCTCGCCGGGCGATGACTCAGAAATTCCGCTGCGTGTTCTCTGACGGTTGGAGCGCTGGGTTTAAACCACATGTTAATAACTTGGCCGCCTGCTCAATCTCTTAATATTAAAATGTGAGATTGCTCATATATTCATGTCTATATGTTGTAAACCCAATATTAAACATGACCGATACCAAAATAGCTCCAAGTGTATTTATTTCAAAGGAAATAAAGTGATTTACATCTGAATCCTCATGGCCGCAGGGAATTTTAAAGGCGCCCCGAGAAAAGGGTAAAAAAACCTTATAATTATTACTGCAAGTTCACAGAAGTGTTGGGACTTTCAAGAGACGAAGTCCATTCTGTTTAAAAACTTTTAAATGTTATAACTGCAAAAGGATGTCTGCTTTTGGACCAATGACCTGCTTAGAGTTCTGACCGAGTCTTCATCACACGTCTCTCCCTGAGATTCTGTGTTTCCATCAGCGGAGGTGCTGCTATTCTCCCCGGTTCCAGATTTTCCAACCTCCTTTCAGCCCTGAAACTGCCTGACGTCACTGTGCCACTCCCAGGCCGCTGGCCGCTGGGCCCTGGGCCCTGGCCCTTCTGGAACCCTCTGCATGGGTACACGATGCAAGCGCACTCCCCTAGCCCACCGGTCCAGCTCTTCCTAAACCCTCTGCTGCCTTTTCTAAGACGAGCCTCGCTGGAGACAACCAGGTCTCGGGCACGCAGAAGGCTCATTTTATCACCGCCTGGGTCTTCCCGTCTTCCCATCAGTCCCGGTGCCTCCGCCTCCCCCAACCCCCTCCTTCTCCCCGGGCTTCACACCAGAGCACGCTCACCACCAGAGCTTGCGACTCCTTCCGCGAGTCCTGTCACTCATCAGATAAACTCCAAACACCTGATCTCCATTCAGGGTCCTGGATGATGCTCACCTCATTGACCTCTCCCACTTCAGCTCCCCCTTTCCTCCAAACTCAGCTCCGACAGCCCCCCCGCCACGCTGCTCACCTGAAGCCATCTGCTTGTCTCTGGATTTCCGAAGAGCCAAGCAGCCCGTGGGCCATCCGTTTACCTGGACCCGGAGCCTCTGTGTAGAAGACCTCCAAGGGCGCAGCTGATGCTCAGTCCCAGTTTTGGAGAACTTATGGGTGGGGCGAACAAGTCTGTAAAGGTGGGAGGAGCCGCCCAGGAGGACTTGCCTGGCTGTGCACCCCGCACAGGTAAGAATTCTCTGCAGTAGGACTTTGGGCCTGAAGCTAGGAGCCAGCACAGTGCAGAGAGCAGGGGAAGGCCAGGCGGCTCCCACTGTTTGGAAGCAGGATTTTGGCTACCACACTTCAGGGTGGTCATGAGTTTCTCCGTGAGCAGAGTTAGAGAGAAATACCAGAACATACCGTGTACGCATGAGGCAGCTTGGAAAGGG